CCCCAAAACCCCAAAACCCCAAAACCCCAAAACCCCAAAACCCCAAAACCCCAAAACCCCTGTTTTTAGGAAAATGATTGAATAAATCTTGCTAGTTTCTTTCTCTGCTTGCATGTGTTAACCCCCTCTCAAATATCTTACATTCATGTTGTCTTACTTGTTGGTTCCAGAGCAGTTGTCTCAGAACCAAAGCGTGGTTGGACGCGTCTCCAGTCCCACTCATGCGAAGTGGAACCACTCGATCGGTCACTTAGGGTTGTCGCACGCAATCATTTCATCGTAACTCCCTGTGTTGCAATATCAGAAAGTGTCTTCGACCGGCGCTCCGAAGTACTTGAGCAGAGCCTTGTGGCTTTTGGAAGTAAGCAGTTCTTCTCCGGGCTCTCTTCTGTGTCTAGGGAACTCGGCTCTTCTGTCTCTTCTCCGCTTCTTGAGGAAGTCGTCGTATTCTTGATAAATGGGGACTCGTTTGCTATTTGAGGTAAAATTTTCGCTCCAAAAGTTCCTGGTCCAGTATGTTTTGATGCAAATCGTTGTTTTTAATAGCTGAGATGTCTTTTTCTATTGACTTTGCATGCCTTTTATTTACCCAACTTCTCCTCTTCATGCTTGGTTGACCTATTGGAGTTCGAATTGGTGGAATTAAATTTAATCATCTGCCTTGTAACCCTCTTGTGGGTGTTAGATGGCACTCTCTTTGATGAATTCTCTTGAGGACGCTTCCTTAACCTAGTTGCAATTCCGGTAGTTTTAGGGAAGGTCTTTGCAGACCGAGATTTGGTCCTTAAGTCTCTTGAATTTTTATTTGAAACGAACCTTCCATTTTTATCTCTCAGTGGGAGATCGTTAGGGTCCCTTGATTGCCTCAATCTAGTATTTTTGAGCTTTCTAGTGGAGACAGGGGAATCAATATTTAACTGCTGCAATGATTCCTGCTTAGTCTGAATATCATGATTGAGTTGGTCGATACTCTTCCTACATGCCTCGATGATTTTATCCATTTCCTTTTTAACATAACTGCTTTTATTTTTAATTTTTGTTTCTAAATCTCTAGTTTCGAGTTGGTCTTTTCTCTTCCTCCTTGTCTTTTTATTGCCTAAATACAGGGATCAGGAGGAGAAAATTGTAGTCATGACTACCTTTATATCTTGACTGCATCGACTCCACTTGGGAATGCAAGGAAGACATCTCGTCTTTGAGTCCTTGTATTCTCTCAGTCACTGCTTTATGAGTCAACATGTGACTAGCTTTAATAAATATTATTTAAAATTATGCTCAACGAAACCCTAAATATTCGGGGTTTTGGGGTTTTGGGGTTTTGGGGTTTTGGGGTTTTGGGGTTTTGGGG